GCAGGACTAGCAATTGATACACATGCGGTGCATGAGCGTAAGTTGGAACCAGATTCTAGCGCTATGTTGACGCCGGCTTACAGCACAAATTCTGCCTTGTCACAGCCAAGGCACGCCGCAGTTCGACCGAGTCAAAAGCAACGCTTTCCACTGTTCGCATTTCTTTCAATCACAATATTACGTACCTGATGAAGCTGCTTTCATAGTCTGCAATGCACGTGCTGCAGACATTCCGGACTGTCAAGGAAGATCTCCTCGACATTTCACACGACATCAGCATAAACTTCCAGCATAGGAACAGCGCGAAACATGCTTACAGCCAGACTCGAGTTGTGAAGCTTTGCGTTTGATTTGTAGACCGTCTGCTCGCCTGGCAGTTGAGTGTTGCTTCGCCACGCTTGCAACAGACGGCGCCACGTGCTTTTCAATATGGCAGCATGCACTGAGCTCGCTGTGTATTGGTGTGTAAGATATTGAGAATTGACATATACCAAAATGATCAGTAAATGCTCATTGTGATCAAGGAATGGTTCGTTATATTCATTGTGGGAAATATTTTTGCTTCATTAAATTGAGGTTTTAAATACATGGGCATCTATGACAATTTCAAGGGGAATTAAAATTGCTTCATTATATCTATTAGTTCGTAATATCATGCTTTGTTATAACGAGGTTTTACTGTATTGTTATCATTGAATTCAAATACGATTGTGTGAAAAATAATGTTACCGAACTGGAACTGGAAGCCTGAATATTCTACATCTATGTTCTGAGCGCGCTATACTATATGCCACCAGTATGTGGCGTCCTGAAGGCACTAACCTGCCCGCATAGTCTTAAGACCTCTTTTTTCCTCATTTACAATTTATCGGCGCCACATTGGCAAACACAACGCGCCTATACCGCAACCACCATACTTGATTTCAATGCGAGAAACTCGTCAGGGCGCTGGCTGATGCACGCAAATAAAGAGCGCCAGCGAGCGCCTGTGCCCTCTGGAGGCTACATCGTAAAATCTTTCAGCCTAGCTGCCTCGTTCACGACACTACAAAAACTTTTCCAGCCACTATACCTGCACTTCTATTGAAATGCTTTACTGACCACAAATGCAGTTTCATGCCTGTTTAATGAAACAGTACAAATAGTGCGAGGGAAAAAGAAGCCAGAAGTTTCGAAATCTCCCGAAGAAGGGAGGGAGGCCCACGCTCTGGATTTTATGATAGAGGTAGGCAAATACAGTACCAACATACGATGTACGTAACACTAAACCAACTGACAAGACAACAAGTGGGCTCTGCGTTTTCTCTTGCCCAGTTAATGTTTAATGCATGTCTTCAATAATTCTGCGTGTATCAACAAGCTCAAAATTTCCTCTGGAAAGGAAAGAAAACTACCCCGCTTGCAAGTATACTATACCATGGCTGCCCAGCAACTTGAACAACTTAGCATTTTTTTGTATGTTCATGTGCAAAGCACTTTTGAGATGCTTTCTCATTCCAATAAAATGCCTTGTTTAGCACATTGGTTCATTCTAGAGAAGATTTGAGTGCACATCTATTACTCATTCTGGCTGTGCATTTACCAACATGATGAGCTACTAACAGGGCTCCCAGAATGACCATCAAGAAGGTTCACAAGCCTGACAAGCAAATTTTAAGGGGGGGCGCGGCAAGTAAAGTGCCGATTTTGGTCAAAATATGCGATTTTCTGATTTATTTTTTTTCGTAATCTTCAGACCTTCAACTTCCTTGTTCTAAAATATTACAGCGAAACGTGCGCCACAAATCCCGCAAATAGTGTTTTTGCCGAGGCTAGTCGCCGAAAAGTGCGAAAAAAAAGCCCCTGAAACGGTGTTGTTCACGCCGCACAAACGCGCCAAGTTGTTGACCGTGGGCCGCCATTTTGGTAGCTTTGGAAAGAGGAGAAAGCCGGCTTCCCGATGGTCGCGGTCTCGTATTTCGCCGAGTGAAAATAAAAGCGCGAGGAGCAAGTAAAAAAACGATAACGAAGAACGGCAATTGGCTGCGCGGGTCACGTGGTAGCAGGCGCGACCTCTTACTGGTCAAAGCTGCGCCGCGCACCTTGGCAACCTTGGAAGCGCGAGCGCATCTGCGGCCGCCGTGTCGAGAATCATCCGGCGTGCGCTTCGTTTTTTGCCAGTTTGCTGCTTTTGTGATAGTTCGCGTGCTTTTTTTACCAAGCTTTGTTTACATCGGTGGTCTCTTCTGAGTGCTTGCTCATACTGCGGTGCTATGTTGCCGCAAAAAAAGTTCCGGAGCGTCCACAAGTACGGCAAGCGTCGGAAAGCTTGGAACAAAGGGCAGACGACTGCGGCTGCCGTCCCAGTCGCAGTTCCGGACGGAGCATGCTCTTCAAGCGTCACGGAGCCTCTACTCAGACCCTCCGCTGATTGTTGTGAGGCCGAGAGTGTGGAAGGTGCCACATCGTCGTATGTCAGACCGCCGGATGCCGTCGACCGTGATGGACGCTCTCGCGAACCCGATTGCGGTGGCACCGCGTCGGCAGCCGTTGCAACTCCGGGCGTGCGCGCGTCGAACATTCTATCGCGAGTTTCGGCCCAGATTCCGAGCAGTGAAGAAATCGCGCAGCGGGCGCAGACAAGGCGGGATGTTTTGGATGCCGTAGCATCGAAGTCCGCTTCAAAGCGGAAGCTCGAGCTTCTGAACGAAGGCTGCGACGAAAATGACGGCGGTAAGGACTCCACATTCTTCATTGTAAATAAGAAGATGCTGAACGGTCTGCTTTCGTCAGTAAAGTGCAACAAGTGCGACGAAGGGTCGATACGCCTCGAGACTACGCACTGCCTTGGACTCGCGGCGAGGATGGAACTTTTTTGTGACAATTGTGGCAGAGTGAACAGTGCGTGGTCGTCCCCGAGGTGCTCCGGGCAACAAAAAACGAACCCCTTTGAGGTAAATGTGCGTGCTTTGAGGGCTGTGCAGTCAGTTGGCAGAAAACAATCTGCCATAAATGACATTTTTTCTGCGATGGACATTTCGCATCGAGCACTGCACCACAAGTCCTACCAGAGGCTGCAAAGGAAGTACAGCCACCCTGCCACCACATCAGCTGCCACCCGCATTGAAGCAGAAAGTGCACAGAAGGTGCATGACATTTACAAGGACCTAGGAGGAGTGCCAGCCAACATTGACGTCATTTACGACGGCACGTGGATGACGAGGGGGCACAGAAGTCATATTGGCGTGGGCTGTGTAATCGAGCTGTACACAGGCTTGGTCTTGGACCACTGTGTCCTGTCCAACTACTGCCAAGGCTGTGCTGTTGGCCCCAAGCCTGGTGACGACAACTATGAGGAGTGGCTTGAGAAACACAAGCCACAGTGCCAAAAGAACACCGATGCTAATGCAGGCCAAATGGAAGTAGAAGCAGCTAGGATCATGTTTGAAAGATCGTTTACCAAGTACAAGCTTCGATACATCAATGTGCTCTGCGACGGTGACAGCCGTACGTACCTTGCCCTCACGCAAGACAAGGTGTATGGCTACATGGTGATTAAGAAACAGGAGTGTGTGAACCATGTGAAAAAAAGAATGGGCACTTCCTTGCGCAACCTTCTTGATGAGCACAAATCCAAAGGCCGAGGACTGAGCATGGGTGGCAAAGGCCGGCTGACGCAGGGCCTGATAAAGAAGTTGACGAATTATTATGGCTGGGCCATTAAGAGCCACCCCAATGATGTTCCTGGCATGGAGAGGGCCATCATGGCCACTTATTACCATGTAACATCCACAGACCAGGATCCACACCACAACCTGTGCCCAAGTGGGACTGACTCCTGGTGCCCGCACAATCAGGCATTGGCCAAGGGAGAGCCGCTGCCGCCTCACAAACATAAACTGCCCCCTCACGTGCGAGTGGCACTGATGCCAATCTACAAGCGCCTCTCGAACAAAGAGCTCCTTGAAAGGTGTGCGCAGGGAAAAACCCAGAACGCTGTGGAGAGTATGAACAGCCTCATTTGGTCACTCCAGTCCAAGAGCCAGTTCGCCTCCCTTCGAAGTGTGGAAAGTGCAGTTGCAGATGCAGTCTGCCGTTTCAATGGTGGCTGCAAGAGTGCGCTGCAAGAGATCACTGCTCAACTGGGCTTCAATCCAGGAGACTGCTCTTTGCGGCGAGCAGCCGAAAAGGATGCCAAAAGGGTAAAGAGGGCTCAAAAGGCGCATTGTTCCACGACAAAGAAGCGCAAAACTGGGTTGCGCTCTACAGAGGCCAAGGCCACAGCATCTCAGGATTACTGCCCAGGAGGATTCTGAGTGTTTTAGGCATGTTGTGAACTTCCAAACAAGAGTGAACTTTCAAAGTCAGTTTTCTCAACTCTTGATTTTCGCCTATGTGCCTTCGCTAGAACATCTGTCATTTTCTAACAAAGACTGATAGAGTCGTTCCGTTTTTTGCACTAGGCTCAGGAGGCCTTTAGCAGTGCAATAAAGCTTTATCTCTCTTCTTACTCATCATTTAAAATTTTTAGAACACATTTTATAATTACTGCAATGTGTGCGCAAAACAACATCCATGTTTTGGAAATTTTATTTATGGTTACAAGAACTAGAAAAATCAACTAATAGCTTCTTTGCACAAGTTGATGCTTTGGGAACATAATAATATGAAAAAATAATTTCATTTAGCAATAATTATCTCTTTAAGTGTGAAGAGCATTAATTAGTATAATTATGCTTGTAACTCAAAAAGTACAAGAGGTATTTGAAAACGGTTTTCATATTTGGAATCCTCACAATCATCCACATACACACACCAAATTTCATCACAAACAGTACATTAATAAAAAAATTAGTTTTACTTGCCACGTCCCCCCTTAAAGCTCGTGAAAAGACATTTTGGGGAAAAAAAATTGATAATCGAATTTGAATGCTTGAGCAGCCATATTCAACCAAGAATCCTAGAATATAAGGAGTAAGATAGTTTAAGTGGTTGGGGGCAATACACATAAGAGTACACACCTGAGAGACAGCACACTGGCTTGCTCTCCAGCAGGCTCTCTTGTCTCTCTGTCAAGGACTAGTTCCATGCCCACGAAAAGGCCATGACCACTGCAGAGAAACAATACCCATCAACACTGCTTATACCCTTGCCAAGTTTGCCGCTTGGGTTCACCTAAGAGAGACAGAACACGCATAACAACAAATTACTAAGTCTACTCCATTATGGCTGAACTCTAACATGCAGACCTAAAAAATGCTTTGGAAAAGGCCGCCCTAGTGCTCAAAATATTCAGTATTTATCTTCAACAAGAACCACACTGTACTTCAAGCAATTATCAGACTTTGAATTATCAAAAGTCTACTATAGTGTCGAAATAAGGCCACGGCAGAACTATTAGAGAAAACGTACGACGTGCTGAAAGTTGAATACCAGGCACAGCTTCAATTTACTAGCTAGTTGCCCATTCACCAAAGGGTTGCTTTTAAGCAACATGTGTACTACTTGGCTAGTTTTGTAATCATGGAGGCCTTAGTTGGTGGTGCTGGCCTGTGTGTACAATGCAGTTCAGCATAGCTTCAAGGTGCCATTTGAGCCAAAGTTCTAGCAAAATCGGGAACTGCACAATTGTTTTAGACTTATCAGTGGCCATTCAATACATTTTAGAACTTCAGAAAACATTTTAGAACAACTAAACTGCCTCTCAGAAATATTTCAGAAAACTGCCCTACTAGAGACAGAGATATTAGGAGTGCGATGCTTACCTTTCCCACCCATGCTCAATGTTTACCATACCAAGAGTGAGAGTTCCCCCATTAACTAAAATGCAGCATTTTAGTTAACTAAAATTCTGCATTAACTAAAATGCAGCCGTGCAACAAGGCAGGCACGGCTAAGCGCAATTGGAGGACAGTCTGCATCTCTCGGAAGTGAGCGATTCTTATGAAAACTCAAAATACAGATCTTTTTATCCCTACAGCCTACTTGCTTAGTAGGTTCAATACAGTAACAGTCAGGCATAGTGGGCTATTTCAAATAAATTGCCTATCAATCAATCAATCAATCAATCAATCAATCAATCAATCAATCAATCAATGGGAACTTTCTGAGATAATCTACTTGCTGCCCAAGAATAGCCTCTGGCGACCAGCCTATTTATTGCCCATGTAATAATGTTTAGGAGTACCTCAATATTGCCTTCTGCTAGCTAGCTTCATGCACAGAGCACTACAAAACTTTGCCAAAATTTAGACGCTCACAGCTCTGTCTTATCAGTGTATTGTATTCCTTCATCAAGCCTGGAGGCCATTTCAAAGGGCCTTTAACTGTGAAACAAACAGTGTAAGGCGAAAACTTTGGTCATCAGACATGGAGACTTACCGGACATCACCGATGAGGGGGTGCCTCTGCTGAAGCTCTCGCAGGGAGGCCAGAAGGTAGTTGCCCACTTCCATGGCGTGCTGCTGCAGCTTCTCATTTTCAATCACATCCAGCACAGCAGAAGCCACCGCCACAGACACTGGATTACCGCCATACTAGAAAAAAAATATAACAATGGTAAAGAAAAATATTGCAGCACAAATGTGCATCGAAAACTTGAGGCTGGCGGTCATGCCTAGCCCTCGTTTTTATGAAAATGTACAGCTTTTTTCAAGAAAAGCAATTTGGAGCATCAACGTCATGCCATGTTTCCTCAGAACTACAAAACTCTGGATAACAAGACTACACTGCACTGCTGGGCTTCCAAAGCAACTCAGATGCTACAGGAGGTCAACTAATATGCCCGAGGTACAAAGCTTCTCCAGGACTTCTCCAAGAAAAGCGTTCTACGAACATGAGAAAAAAAAATAACTTCACATAAAAATTATTCAGGCATGATGAATGTAACAAGTTCTTCAAACAAAACGTGAATTTTGAGGTCTGTGTTTACCACCCAAAGCAGGTGCTTCTGATACTTTTGGCCCCAAAAATTTTGCTGCTGTACTCAGTTACCGAAAGGACAGCTGTAAAGATTGTTTTTCCAGAGAGCCATTCTATTCATGCTTACTGATCAGTTTTAAGCTTTACACAAAGTTTTTGAACAGGCTTAAGAGTTTCTTTCAAGAAGAAGCACAGGTTGTGCAGGCACACTTAAGTTTGCTGGGTTCTTTTGCCCAGTCTGCACAAGTTGGTGTCAACAGAAGCTTGTACCACGATTACGTGTTTTCAAGTGATGCTTTTCGGATCTTCCCAGTTCTAGATGGTGGTAGAGAGTAAATGCCAGCCCCAGTGTGGCAGTGAAGTTTTGAAGGAGGTGAAGCAGGGCTTGTATTTTCCGATCATCACTTTCATACCTTTTTGCACGGCATTCAGCAGTCCAGAATCGTGGCGACCTGGCACTGTACCAACTATATACAAGTGGTTGGTGGTGCGCCTTATTTGTGAAAATGTTTTGCGTCTCCACAATGCTTGCTCAGGGTGCATATTTAGACTACTTGTCTTGCTAATTACAGCTCACTATTTTCAGAGGAGTCATTAGTTCATCATTAGTAATGCAGCATAATACAGCAAAAAAAAATTGCAAATTTTCTTCAGAGACTGTCATTTCAACAATCCTCTTTTAAAGAGGCCCTGCAACACAAATTAGGCATGTTCCACCGCCGTTTCTAGCACTGTGGATAGCATGAATATCACTTCTCAAGCACGAGTGTCAAAAATGAAGCTGTTATACACTACAACCTCATTATAATGAAGTTGCATCTGCCACGAAAATAACTTGGTTGTGTCTGAAAATTTGTTGGAAACACGTACTTGTAACACTGTACTATGACAAGACTATTCTTCATTTAATTCGTTATAACCAATAATACGTTACATCTGTGCTTGTTATATAGATGTTTCAGTGCAATTTAGTTATACAAGGAGACCGCTTTTATTTAAGGCCACAGTGATGACAGCTGCTGTAAAAACCGAAATATAGGTCGATATAGCTCGTAGAAGGCTATACTAGCTGCGCCCTGATGACTGCAGAGCTGGCGAGATAAAGTCCGCGCCAGCAATAGCGACTGCGCTTGAGAAATCGAAATTTACAATTGCTTCTCGAGCCCTCCCCTTTTCACGAAGTCTTTTCATGCTCGTTAAAGACAGGCAGAGAGTGTCTACTTTTCTTGTTTGAGCAATAGCTGGTCTAACAGGCAGGGGTATCACATGAACCCTCTGAGTGAAAGAGATGGGCTGGATCATTTGATCTCTGCTTCAGCCACATTCTTTGCCACTGCTCAAGCATCATTACTTGCGGGTAGACTGTACGATGCACTGGGGGTTTTTAGTGATGTAGACTTTATATAGAACATGGTGGCAACGGCAAAAACTCATCGACACCGAGACTGGCCATATAATTACTATTGCAAAGCAAGACACTGAAGCACACCTCCTCACTGCCCTTCAGAGAAGACACCCTAAGACAGCCCACATTTCGAATCAAACGCTTGTGCAGCAGAAGAGAAATAAACAAAAACAGAAAAATGATGCCCTCAATAGTGAGGCATGGATGTGTCTGCCACGAATAGGTGAACCTGCAAGGACATGCTTTCTTCACTATGGTTAAACAGATGAGCCATGTCATGCCAAATTTCACATGTGCATGCAGCTCAACGAAAGTGTGCAGAGACCGGGGGGAAGGAAGCCTGTGTGGTTTGGCCGGCTAGAGCAAAAGTGCTGCGATACATTGTAGTGTCAGCCAGTCGATCTAGAAAAAAAGTGTCGAGAAATAATGCCGTGCAGAGAGTGAAATGTTTTGAAGACAGCGCTGACAATAGTAATGCGTGACCACAGACTGCCGAAGAGAAACTACAGGTCTGTGCTACAGCAGTCATGAGCCCGTGCTTTCCCCTGGTGAATATGCAAGGACTTCAACTGATCTTAAATGTTCTCGTGCGTCTTGTATTGTACAGTTAACCAGCCTGAGTGTGCTTGTATGAGAGATGCCCGTACTGACTTATTGAAAATATAAGTTTTTACATTATCAATTCTGCGCTCCAACTAGTCCTTCGACCAACGCTAGTATTAAATAGCACGCTAAAAAAAACCTCCTCTAAATGTTTCCAAACTTTCGTGGTACATTTCAAGAGGTCAATATGCGAGCCCCTGGAACCTGCTTCACTATTACCTCCCATTAACAGGTCCGAGAACCTTATGCGGCAGTAACAGAAATGGCCGAGTGTATTAATTGGTTTGTCATGAAAAGTGCCATGTAATATTCATAATGTCTCCGCTAGGCCCATAGTGCTGCACGCTGAAAATTGTCAACTAACAATGTACAGTCAAACCTCGTCAATACGTAGTTGGCCAGGAACAACGTTTTGGTATGCACTAAGCGATGTACAAATTAACCATCAGTGCCAGTTTAACAGCTGCTTACCAGGCAGAAAACAACATCGCGATCCTCACAAACACGCGTGCACACACACGCAGGCATGCAAGTTTCATTTAGGGACAGGCAGCAAAAAAATCCAAGATCTTCACTTGTTGCCGTGGTGGCCTTGCCGTGTTGCCGCCGTGGTGGGCTTGCCGTGTTGCCGTCGTGGTGGGCTTGCCGTGACGACGGCATCTTCGAAGTCGATGAGGCCACAAGTCAGCCGGTCCATTAGGCCGCGCTTCTCGGCGAAGGCTCGCATCACAGTTACAACAGGCACCGCTTCGGATAACGAGGGGCCATCCTCCACTTCGACATCGTTGTCCTCGTCACTTTCGCTTGAAGCAGGACGAGGTGCGACGGCAGCAACAATGCCACTGCCGGAAAAGTCCAGAGATGCAACGACGTCTCCCTCGTCATCTTGGAAAGTGCCGAAGTTGAACTTTTCGACTCCATCTGCTTGCCACTCGAGCACCTCCACAAGAAGGCTCTCGCAGTCTTCTCACCATCCTTGTTGTGGTCGTTGCTTCCTTATGGCACTCTGAATTGCACTCACGGGAAACAGTTTCGTATCGTTCGAGGCTGTACTTGCATCCATGAGTGCACACGCAGGTGCAGAGCACCCAGAAAGTCGATCATGCAAGTTTTGTCACTCTCAGTCGCGAGCAACATCCTTTGTAACAGGTTTTTGCGCCAAGTCTGGTTTACAGAGCGGATGATGCCCTGATCGAGGGGCTGGGCGATTGCTCTCGTGTTGGGCGGCAAAAACAACAGCTCAATAGCCAATAGATTACCCACATTGACATACGCCGACGCATTGTCGAGTACTAACAGTGCGCTCCTTTTCTTGGCAGTACAACGGCGGTGTAGCAGGCGCATGTATTACTCGAACAGTTGAGCCGTCATCCCTGTCATCCATACCTTTCTGTTGAGTTTGTGAAAAACCCTGAATGGCAGCCGAGGGCCTTTGCAGCACCGTGGGTTTAGCAATCGCCATCGGTGGCAGCTTCTCACTACCAGTCATATTCAACCCAAAAGCGACAGATATCCAATTTTTGGCACGTTCCCGCCTGTGCACTTCTCGCTCTTGAATGCCAATGTCCCGTTTGGACGCAGGCAATAGAAATGTGCCGACTCGTCAAAATTGAAAATGTTGGCGGCATCATAGGCTCTCGAGGCTTCCTGCTAATACGTGTTCTGCCATTCGACAACGCCATCTGTGTGGTGAGCCTGCTGCCGCAGACAAACAACCTTCCCCACTATGCCGTAGCGGGCTTTAAAACTGTGACAACCAGCGATTGCTGCAGGTAAAACCAGGGCAGTTCAGCTGATATGTGAAAGTTAGTGCTTTTTCAGTCAAAAGGGGTTCACTAACCGGCAAGGTTCACGCCTTTTTCAACCAAAATAATGCAGGACCTTTTCCACTTCGGGATAAGCAAAGTTTCTGATGCGGCACTTTTTCAAATTGCTGCCTGCGCTGCCCATCAGCTTTTCGAGAGCATTCCATATTCCACACAAAATCGTCAGAGGCAAGATCTTTTCGCGGGCTACATCAGATTTTTTTGCCCCTTTTCAATGGTGCGAATAATTTTAACTATTTCTTTCACACTCAAGACGCGGTACATTAGCATAATGTGCAGTCTTCATGTACAAATTCAACCACACCCCTCACACATGACACAACAGGAATTAAAAAGAAACACGACATGCCACACAAAAAGAACGCATGTAACGTAACATCACCACACCGCCGCAACGATCAAGACTGCGGAAAAGTGAGAACGAAAGAGTGATAAAGACGCGTTGCTCAGCACTGTTGAGTAATTACAATACATGGCTTGGATTGGAAAGCGATAGCCGATTTGTACCCCCTACCGGGAGCAGTGACCGGGAGTTCCTGGGTTAGCAAAAACCCATCCTGAAGGCCATGCTTTTGCCCGGCGCATTCGATAACAGCAGTAAGCACAGAAAATACGTGAAAATGGCCATGTTTTGACGTCACTATCGCTGGCTTTTGTAGTCCGATCATCCAGCAAGTGTATCGAACATCTGAGCGCACGAAATTTTGAGGATTTTCGACCAGTGCATGGATAACGAGAACGAAAATAGTATGTACTAACCGTATGTAATGTCACAAGCGAC